TACCCTAAGAACATCGTAGGTGTAAATATTGTAGAGTCAGCCGCATCATCTTGGGGTTGGGAGGTTTTGGGGATGAGCAATACGGCTGCCTTGTCAGTCTCTCCCACTTTGGGACTAGTAAGCTAGGCAAGCTTTGTTTCATGTGCAATGTGCTTGCAGGTGGCCGCTTTGGATGAGGCTCTGTACCGTGCACTTGGGCCAGACTACGAGCTGCTTCTGGGTTGCTGTGAAGAAACTTCAATTAAGTTACTGTACCATATTGGCAACATATTGGGTATATATATGCAAATATACAGGAATCAGTAGGTTCCCCAATATAGTAACGTGACCTAAGCTCCTTAACAGCAACCCAGGCATGTGGTGCAGGTGGATGCCGAAGAACAGCTTTACAGCATCGAGGCCGAAACCGTGAAGAGCAGCCTTGCCAGAGCGGAGCAACGAGGCATCTTCTACTTCCTGAGCCCACAGCAAGTCAAGGGTGCTTTCCGGACTAAGAGCTACCTTGTGCATGATGAGGCGCTCTTTGCACTAATGGAACGGTTGGAAGAGGCGGGACTGCCGACCGTGTGGCCACACCCCTTGCATCTTTTCAAGATGCTGGCTGGCAAAGTCTGGCCTCCCCAGGTCTGCCTGTCGGCTGAATATCACGTGCCTTTGACGACCTGCGTCCCGCGCTGTGCCGTGCTTGCAGATCCTCACAGGGCCGCTGAGGAGGCCCTTGAAGCGCTGAGATTCCTTCGCCAGGCCGCTGCCAGGCCGCCGGAGGTTTCGGGGACAGTTGTCAAGGTGGGCTTCTCTTGGAAATCTGAGGGAGTCACGCTGTGCCGGGAGACGGGAGATCTGGAAGCCGCTTTGCAAAGTGCTGCAGCTGCCGGGAGTCACAGCTATTTCATGGTGCAGGAACGTGTGGAAGGCCTTTGCTGCGAGGCCATGGTCTACACACTGGGCGGAAGAATCGTGGGCCATCCCCAGTATTATTCTTTTCCCTACCACAAGGCACCACCGCAGTACATGCTGCGGAAGTCGGCTGCACAAGCCCTGGGGGGAGCAGCAGTCCAAAGCGAATGTGAAGCAAAGATGAAACAGATCACACAGAGGTGGTTGGTTTGGACCCGGGCCCAGTCCTCTACTTTGGTGCCCTTCTTGCGGATCGACTTCCTATTGGCAGTAGATCCAGCCTCCAAGGAAGTAAAGGTGTCTTGACCGTGGTTGAGTTACATGTTACAGTTTTATGAATACTCCAACAAAGAGAAACACGATCGTGCACGTGTTATTCTAAACATTGTAAAAGGTTTGGACGGGCGAGGTCAGTGAGCTAGGGGTGGCTGTCTCCTTGCAGGAAACTTGGTTGCTGTTAAGGAACCTTGTTTTAAGATTGCTATTTGTCTAATTAGGAAACCCCACCCTGTACTATATAGCCATATTATGATAACCCGAACCCCGATGTACCCAAATTATTGTGATAACTTATTTCAAGTTCCTTAGCAGCAACTCAGGAAATAGATGACCATCAGAGCTGCGACATGGTAATGGATGCGGTACTGTCTTCTGTCCTCAATCAGCATGACAAGGGCTCGGCGAGCATGCCGGGAAAACTGGCCTTTGCAAAGGGGCTTCAGGGATGCTTTGCTTAGGGTTTAGAGTTTAGGGTTTAAGGTTTAGGGTTTAGGGTTCAGAGATCTTAGTAGCTGACAGTCCTTAACCTAACGTAGGACCCTACAATAGTTAAAAGGTTTGCATGGTGATATAAGATATCCCCTCCAACCCATCATAGCCTATCTTTACCCATTATAAGTAGGTGACCTAACCCGGTAGTAGTCCCAGAGTGCCACAAAGGCACACCTAAGCTTAAGACCTAATCGCCGAACCCCAGGCCCTAAGCCTAAGCCTAAACCCCGAAGTCTACATCCCTAAACCCTTTTGGGGGTGTGTAGGCTGCCATCTCATGGCCAGCCCGCAAACTAGCTGTACTTGGAGGGTCATGGGGACTGAGAAATTCGGTTAAAAACCCTTATAAGCCATATGGGTGGTGGTCAAAATTATGATCCCTTTTTGGATTCCTATTATAGGGCACCCAGAAAGGGACCATAATTTTGACAACCCCGATTATAATAAACCCAAGTATCAACGATTAACCTACTTACCAAGTCCCCATGACCCTCCAAGTATGCGGCGTTGGCAGCAGAGCATGGTTGACTCGGCAGACCAGGCATGCGAAGGCAGCACAAATCTTCAATTCAGTAACATAGTAAGCAATCCATGACTAACATGGAAATGATCACAGAGTAGTGTAGTACAAGCAATGTGGTATGTAGGAATATTCGGAATGTAGTGAACTGTTGGCATGGGAGTTTCCTGTAAGGGGGACTTCCATGCCTCTTTGCAAACGCTACATAGCAGTTGCCCCAAACAGGCGGACCCCAAAGTAGACCCAAAATATTCTAATCCTTTTGATAAGGACCCCCCAAAATGGTACCCCTAAGTTTGGGAACCCCCATATCTGCACAAGATCCGCAAGGTCCCCTTGATTTCGTGAAACTTTGGAAGGATGCAGATGGCAAGGAGCAAGCGCTCCTTCTGAGTATAGTTCCCCGTAAGTAGACAGAAAATCCATGGGCCCTTAGCCGTCCACATAGAGGTCTCTCTTATAGTTTTGTGTATTCCTTTCACATAGTCCCTAGTGAGGAACCCATGTCCATTGAATTTCTGGGGAAATCTTGACCGTAGCTCACATGAACAATCGGGGTTGCCAGGTTTGATGTGTTGGGTCTCACATTGGTGGAAAAGGGTTTCAGAGTTGTTTGCTACCCCCCGTAGAGTCCCCAATGCAAAATCCCCTAACTCTTTGGAGGTAAGCTTGATGCTGCAACACTAAACCCTAAACTCTAAACCCTAAACTCTAAATTATAACAATAGTAACCCTAAACCCTGAAGGTCCCTCGATGGAGGCTGATCTCCTCCAAGGGATTGCCGTCTTTGACACTCAGGCCCGACGTTCTGCCGCCTGGGTTTCGGGTTGAGAAACCAGGAAGTATACGTGGACGCAGCAAGAATCAATGGAGGTGAATCTGCCAGGGCTGCGTATGGAGTTTATGGAGATCGTTTAGGGCCAGGGGTGTTGAAGATGCCCCATACAGTAGGTCCGGGTCTTTGATGTCCTTTGGAAAAGGGTCGTTTGTCTCGAGACATGCGGAGACAAACACCTTGAAAGACATCTGCCTGCTGCCGGAGGCTCACGGGTGCCAATATCGCATAAATCTGGAGGCCTGGGCAAGTTCTTAATCATGATCATTGCTGTCGGTTTTCCATACGCGTGGGGTGTTTATGCCAGTATTTCAATTCAACTTTTTGCATTGGTTCAGTCTCAGTCATGCGTCCTAACGACTCTCACTCAGCTCCAGTAGTGAACTGCGACGGCTCCGAGAGATTTCAGTGAGGCGACATCATGAGGTGCTTCAGTGGCAGGTGATCAGGGGCGGGGCGCCATACATGTAGGCCATAGAGTTGACATGGTGTCCATGGTGGAGAAATCGAGATGTTGAACAACTGCCAGAGAAGCTTTATATCCTTGGCTTCAAAGTTTGACTTTGGAAGTCAGCTGCTAGGCACATATTTAGTACACATCAGGCAAAACATCAATCACTGTTAAGGAAGTCCAGCACGTAGTTGCTGGTGGCTTGTGATGCTTGCTCCCAGGTGTTCAAGTGCACGAATCTCCAGACGGGTCAGACGTCCGCCTTGCGGCTGTTGGAGGCAGGGCTCCCTACACGGTTTAGGGTTTAGGGTTTAGGGTTTAGGGTTTACTGTAGGGTCCTTTGGGTTTAGGGTTTAGGGTCCCATGGGAAGCATCGGTAAGACTTGCATGCGGATCCAGAAGCCCTGGCCCAAGACCCTCATCCATCCTAGCCATGTTGAAGGTTCCATAGCCCTAGCACCCCTTCCAGCATGCAGGGCAACTGTGCGTCTCCGTCGGCAGCGCGCCTCTCAGTGGGTTTATGTTCCGATCATGGAGAACAACAGCTTTAACAAATGGCCTTTGTGACCGCCTGCGCTTGCTGTAGGCGCCTCACCACTTGGGGTGCGTGCAAAGCACTTCGCTATTCGTATGCTCAGGGTAGGGCAGACTTGAGAGAGGAGCTTTGATTTTTACAGATTGCTACCCGGGTCTCTTGTGGCCCAAGCGCTTTGACGTTTTGGCGGAGCAAGCCAACCGCAGAAGCCACCATGGCTGGCGTAGAAGCTCGGCTGCAATCGAGGAAGTTGCATGCATCAGTAGGCCAAAGCCTAAAACCACATTGCAGCTACCATCCCTAGAATCTCCATGTCAGTGACTAGTGCAACAAACTCCACCTGTGACTTGTGGTGGTATCGTGCTCGATTCTGGTGACCTGCGAGGTCGTATGTGTCAGCGGCGGCTTGGACGCATCTGGGGATATTATGGTACCAAATATAGAGTAAGATTCTATCGTCCTTTTAGGGTATAGTATTGTATACAAGGAATATAATCTTACTAGGTTCAACCACCCAAAAAACACTACTCAGGTGATGCCATGTGATACCCTTGGGGTTGATATCGGGGCCTCTCAGCACAATCCCTCCAGAATCATTGCGCCTTTTAGCCCCATGGGAGCTATAGCCTAAACTCCTTAAAGGGGGTTATATAGGGGATTCTTCGATAGGGGACTACTATAGGGGATATTAAGGGGGATCCTAGGAGGTTAGACTATGGCTCACATAACCCTGGCGCCTTTTAACCCCAAATATCCCTAGGGGACTGATCTTACCCATGGCCTGGTTTCAAGGATCCCGCAACCTGAGGGATGCGGGCAGAATCCCTCAAACCACAAGACCACCAACATAAACCCATAACACGTGGCCCCACCCCCATAGAACACCTATGTAATCTCCATATCACCTTGCATACCTATATAGTCCTTGTTGAGCCTTGCATAATCCCCACGTAACACCTTCGTATGAACCCAAAACCAAAAACTACCCTAAATCCTAAACCCTAAGCCCTAAACCTTACTTTTGCTAGGCCTGCCCGGGGCTATGGGCCACGAGGTGTCCCAGGCCTGCATCCGTCGAGGCGCACGTGCGCGCGAAGGATGGATCATTAGGTGTAGGGTTTAAGGTGTAGGGCTTAGGGGTTCAGGGTTTCGGGTTTGGGGTTTAGGTTATACTGGCTGTCTGCGAGCCCAGATGCAAAAAAAGGTTATATAGGGTTTCGGGCTGGGGTTGAACAAGTCGGGATACTTCTCCATCGACAGGCGGCATCCATCGAAAGCCTGTTGCAAAAGGGGGTTTGGGTTTAGGTGGAGGATTCACTGGTATGCAAGGATTATGTAGCTATGTAATGTAGGGATATATGGGGGTTACATGGTGACATGTAGGGTTTCATAGGGATTTATAGGGAAAACTAGGGTTTAGCGATAGTATCCCCGATGATGGACAATCAAACGGAAAAGAACATGGAAAGTGANNAAGTGAAATGGAAACTGGGGTTTATTAGTTGAGTTGAGAGAGAGAGATATGTGTATATACGTATGGCATATACACACGTAGAGTGGAAGCCATTTACAAAGTTCCTAAACCCTGAACCCGGACCAGGTATGACCCTGGCTCCCGTGGGCCTCACGGGCCCTGGCATGCCAGGCCAGTGCGAGGCAGGATTTTTCTGGTGTAAGCAGGCTTTTTTTTTTTTGCG